CCTGGCCGGTTCGGCTCAATGGATAGAGCGTCGGCCTGTGGACTGAAGGGTCCCAGGTGCGATTCCGGTCAAGGGCACAGGCCCGGGTTGCGGGCTCGATCCCCAGTGTGGGGCATGCAGGAGGCAGCCGATCCATGATTCTCTCTCATCACTGATATTTCTATCTCTCTCTCCCTCTCTCTCTTCCTCTCTGAAATCAATATATTTTTTTAAAAAAAGAATTGTCAGGCAAAGATGGGCATGAGGGAAGAACAAGGTGTGTGTGTGTGTAAGAGAGGTTCTCAAACCCTGTCCCTGCAGCCCCTCCCGTCTCTGCTCTCTCGTCTTGTTTGGGTGACATGAGGTAACATACACAGGCATTGAACCTTCAACCAGTGTTTACCGAGTGTCAGCCTGTCACCGAGGATCCTGGGACAACAGAGCAGGACCCCTGCCTTCTCGGACCCTGCAGTCCGGTACACAGTCGGTGCTTAACACATGGTAGCCTCTATTATCATCATTATTCCTAGCGGCCTGGGACTCCTCCCCACTCGTCCTGGCAACAAGCATTTATTGAGCACCGCCTTCGGGCTCGGCTCTGTCCTTGGTGCTGGGCGGACAGAGGGGAAGACTGTGGGTGAGGACCTCATCCGCCCTCAGAGGTGGGCCGCCTCCTGGGGCACCCAGGCCGGACCCCGCGAGCTCCTCGGGGAGTGGCCTGGTTAGGAGCACAGGCTCTGCCCACAGGACCTGGCAGGGCCTACAGGTCTCCGTTAGATTGTCATGAATCCTGAGCTCTGACCAGCAGACACACCCACCACAGGCCTGGGCACAGGGGCAGCAATGTGCCCGAGCTCGCCCCTCCCTCCCAGGACACCCCTGGGATGGGACCCAGGAGGCCTGGTCCTCCTCGCTCCTGCCTCCCCTGCCTCCCAGGTCTCCCAATGCCCTCGGTCTGCCCTTGTCTGTCTCCCCATCCCTCCTCCCCCGCCCTGGGACCCAGGACACATCCTCTGCCCAGGGATAGGTCGTGGGACTCAGCGCTGTCAGAGGCTGGTGAGGGCGAGGGTGGCAATATTTTCTTTCCTCAAATGTGAATATGCTGACGCTAAGGGGACTTGAAACCATGCATGTCATCGGAGGGAGGTTTCGAAGGGCATGGGCGGCTTTGCCTGGAGACGACTGGAGGGGACATGAGAGCTGTCAGCAAGGATTTGGAGGCTGCGTGTGGCAGAGGGAGCCGGCTTGCTCCCAGCAGCTCGGAGGGCAACCCTATGACCACGAGGGAAGGTTCTGGGGAGGCGGGTTCGGCTCAGCACAAGGCGCAGCCACCCTCCCTAACGCTTGCCTGTCCCTGGAGGCCTGTCTCCTGCGAAGCTGCTTCCTGTCGCCACCCTGCCTGGGGGGTGCGCACCGATGGGCTGACCCCTCACTTCTGAGGTTCCTCCAGCCCCAGACGCTGCGACTCCAGGCCCTGGGGATGGTTCACTCTGGCTGGCAGGAGGGGACATGCTTGTCCCCCTGATGGCAGCGCCATGCGTTGGCCGAGGACGTCGTGTCACTTACTCACAGCATCGGTGCAATTTGCAATGGCAAGCGTTTCACCCCGGCCTCGCGGGCTGTGCAAGGGATGCTGGGAGCCTGGTGGGGAGAGGTCACTGCCTGGAAGACGATGGCGTCCGCCATGCTGCGGGGGGGTCCCTGATCCCCGGGATGGGGCTCAACATTCCTCAGCAACACAGCCCTTTTGTCAGTTGTCTGCAACCCCCCACGATGGGAAACAGAAGGAAATGTGCTGTGTGGGTTGGAGAGGACTGTGGGGCCACAGCCTCATCTGCTCAGCTTCCCCTCCCTGGCCCTTGAGGGGTTCCTGGGAGCCCCCAGTTTCCTAAAAGTGCACAGAGCAGAGTATAGGCTCGGAGCCAGGCTGCCAGGTTCAAACCCCGGCTCCCCCGCCTGCTCTCTGAGTGACCTTGGACAAGGGGCTTGACCCCTGTGTGTCTCGGTCCCCCATCTGTAAAACAGGGATAACCATAACGCCGACTCCCGTTGCCGTGAGCACGAAGTTGTTGCCTCACGTGGAACATCTAGGACACCTGCTCATCATCTGAGCGAGAAGGGTGCGCTCTTGCACAGATGAAAGCACTGACCTCCTTTGCTCTTGCTGTTCCCTCTGCCCAGAATATGCTACCCTCACCTCAGCCCCACCCCCCAGACCACACCAAAGACCCTCTCCTCCAGGAAGCCTTCCCAGATAGCTCCCTCATCCGGCAGTCTCTTCATCTGTGTGCTCCCAGAGCCCCCTGCTTACACCTGAGACAAAGCTAACACCAACAACCCTAGTGAGCATACCGATCTATTGCGTGCTAACAACAATCCCAGAGAGCGGGTGGCATTTTTACCTTCTCTTCAGTATAAAGGAGAAAACGGAGACACGGCGGTTAAGGCACTTGTCCAAGGCCACATGGCTGTTAAGAAATAGAGGCTTGTCAACTCTAATTGGAAAATAAATTTAAAAGAATATATACTTTTTTAATAAAATAATTATTTTTTAAATGAGGCAGAGGCTGTTCTCGGGTGTGTTGGCGTCTGGAGCTCCAGGCTGGTGGCCTGCCGCTCACCAGTTCTGGGGCTCCTGACCCGCTAGGAAGTCATCGCCGGATCCTTGCCTGTGCCCTGTCCCCTATGCCCTGTGCTCTGTGCCCTGTCCCCTGTGCCCTGTCCCCTGTGCCCTGTGCCCACGGTAGATTCTCAGTAGCGAGTGGTTGAAAGCTCAACCGGAGATGGAATTTACGTCATTGAGAAGGGAGTTCGACAAAGGAAGGTGTGGGGCCACCTGCTCTCCCCCTCCCCCAGGCCCTCCCCATGGAGGGAGCTGGGCAAAGTGCAGGCCCTCTTCCCAGAAGGCACCTTGCCCATTGCCTCACCACAGCCCTGCGTCTTGGGGCCCTGGTGACGTGCCTGCGGATCTGTGGCCGTCACTCCCCCCACAACCCCCGTCCTCCCTCAGAGGTCTGGAGGCTGAAGATGGAGGCCCTCCATTTGGCCTGAGAACTCTGGCGAAGGTGCCCTCCTGCCCGCGGAGGGAAGGGCACGGGTTCCTTGGTGTCTGGGTGGCCTGGGCCAGAGCTCCCGGGAGCTGTGGGCCCTGAAGGTGACAGTCACTGGCTGCAGGGGCTTTTGAGGGCCGAGGCTCTGGACTCGGGACAAGAGGAAGTTTCGTTGGCCTGGCAGGTAGATAGATGGGGGACAGGTGAGGGCGGCCTTTTCCCACAGCTGGGAGGCTCCAGAAATGGGGAAGGGAGAGAGGGGGCCCCGGCAGGATTCCAGGGAGAGCAGGAGGCAAACCAGGTGCCCAGGGCCCTGGAGTGGTGGTGGAGGGAGCCCCAAGGGCCCTGAGAGCTGGGGGTGACCTCTGGGCCCTCTCTCTAAGGCCCCACAGCAAAGCAAGAGGACGAGCCCAGAAGCTAAAACCACAGGAACCAGGACCAGACAGACAGCTGTCACCCACTCTCAGTGACCATCCCCGGCACCGGAAGTCCCACACAGGCTCCTCTGTAAACAACCCGCGTCTCCTTGACTTTCCGACACATCCTGTGCACGTGTGATGGTGCCGCTCTCACCCGACTCCCTCACATGACCGTTTCCGATCAAGTCTCGCCTTCCTGGTGTCTGGTTTGGGCTCGTGTGTGCAACCACCTGTGCGACGGCGGGGAGGAGGTTTATCTGCATTGCAGGGGAGCACACGGAGCGGTTATGTGACTCGCCCTCAGCCACGCGGCGAGCTGGAGACGCCATTTGCGCAGAAACCTGGCACTTTCCTCCCCGGGCAGGCCCACGAAGACTCCCACCCCTGAGGTCCAGGACTATGGAGAGCAGCTCCAGCGTTTGGATAGGTTCAAGCCTGGGCCTAATGAGCGGGCACAATCCTCCCTCGTGGCAAAGCCACGTGCAAGTCCCAGCACAATGACAGCCAAAGGCTATGGTTGTGAGCTTGACCTCATGGCCCAAACCTGTGGGCCCACGTGGCTGAGTGATGTGGGCTGCGGGAGGGGCAGCAAGTAAACAAAACTTGATCAGGTGCATGTGATTGAGTGGATTCGAAACCCACGAGAACGTTGTAAACATCTTGGCCACGCCCTTACTGTGCCTCGTGGAATCTGCTATAAAATAAAGACTCGGCTTGCAGGCTGTGGCACTGTCTCTCTAGTCAGAGGACGGCGTCCCACCGATCTCTTGTCTGTCTTCTTTAATCCCTCACCGCCCCCTCCGCACCCCCAGGTTCACCCATGGCCGTGCTGGCGCGGCACACAGGACCTCTGAGCTCTCGGAATGGAAGCCATGGCGAGCGTTCGGGAGATTGTCCACCACGGGCCCAGCGACTCCGGGAGGGGCGGGCGGGTGTGCAGACCCCGTTGGGTGGGCTTCCCACCCAAGCAAAGCTGGGCTAAGGGGGCGAGGGCTGATCAGAGGGTTCCAGAGATCTCGTTCTGGACTCTACATGTGGCTGTTGAGCCTCGGCCAGACACTTAAGAGTCTGTCCGTGCCCACGGGGCAGATGCCTCAGGGATTGTAGGAGCTGATGGCCCTTTGGGCGGATTTGGCTGGAGTGTAGCTCAGAGCTCGGAGCCTGGAGGGGGCTGAGCTGGAAGGGCCTGGAGAAGCAGTGGCTGTTTTAGTGGGGTGTGGAGGCTGGGGGCGCTGGGGGGGCTAGGGGCGCGCTGGCTTCTCCCTTGGAGGGTGTCAAGTTTGGGAGATGGTACGGAGCCTGTGGGCTCACACAGGCCCGGGGCAGGGAGAGAGCAGTAGAGGTGTCAACCGGCACAGTTGCCTCATTTTACAGATGAGGGAGATGGGGAGCCCTCCAGGGTCGGCTCTGGGTCAGAGCTGCGGGCTCGGAGCTTGGGGCTCAGAGCTCCCAGGCTGGGAGGGCGGGCAGCGTGGTTGTTCTGAGGGCTCGGGGCTGAGGGAGGGTGGCTGGCTCTGGCCAATGAGGGTCTGACCTGTGCATGTCCTCCCTCCCCAGGGGCGCCCACCCGCGACGTCCTGCTGGTCTCGGCCATCATCACCGTCAGCCTTAGCGTGACTATCCTCCTCTGCGGCCTCTGCCACTGGTGTCAGCGCAAACTGGTGAGGCTCCTGCACCCCGCCCCGCCCCCCAATTGCAGGCTCGTGAAGGCTCTCCAAGGCGCGCACAGATGGCCCACCTGTCCGCCGAGGCAGGCGCACCTGAGGCATTCACACTGCACGTGCGCACTGCGCTGGCCTGGGTGTTGGCCGCGTGGGTCCGTGTGGACACCCAGAGCCACACCCCTGAGGACATTCGTGGAGAGACGGGGGACGCGCGGGCAATCTCACGCGCGCAACTCCGCGCACACGCGCCCCGCCTCCCGCAGAAAGAGCCGCAGGCACAGCCGCTCGGAGCA